ATAGTGGACAATTTGGTGATGGACGGCAAGGGGTTGAGGGGCTGGGAGAATGGAGTGTAAGGTTAAAGAAGTACAAATTCGTGGTTGATGGATGGTCACAGGGATGTGAAGCACGGCACAGGGAATGCAGTTAACATTAATACGTTGGCTAGGTGGAAGGCCAGGGGAGGGAGGGAACAATTGGGGGCATCATTTTATGAACTATATAGATGTCTAACCAATGTACTGTATACTTGACACTAATTAAAATAAATAAATTTAAAAGAAAAAAAGAAAAAGAAAATGCCATTTTCATTCATCTAATCTGCAAAGGCTTCTGTAAATAATAATGCCCAGTGTTCTATAGGTGAGGAAGTGGACAGATATGTGTGTGTGTGTGTGTGTGTGTGTGTGTGTGTGTGTGTGTGTACACTGATGGAGGAAAGATAAGATGGTAGAATCTTCGGGAAATCAATTGTCAAAAATCATTTAAATTTTTTTAAATTAAAAAAATCATTAAAATGTACATATCCTTTGACTCTGCAATTCTATGGGCATGCATTTATCCTCAGGAAATAAAAATTTATACAAAAATTTATACAAAGATGCATAGACAGATGTTTGATGGGTAGCACTGATCAGAGGAAAAAACACAGAATCAACAGACTAGAGAGCAATGATCTTCTGATTTTGATTTTTCAATAATACATTTGTTCTAAATGATAATATATACATTATAAAGCATACACAAAAATAAATTTTAAAAGTATAAATAGAAATTCTAACATTTTCTCCCCACATATCAACAGATCATCTTGAGCTTTCCTGAAGGATGCTCACCTTACCCTGACTAGTAGATCAGGGTGAAAGGCATCGAGGTTAGCTGGTGCAAAGAGATACTAATTAAAGTGAAGTCAGTGCATTCTATGAAAAGTGAAGCAGTCAAACCTTATGGAGAGACAGGTAGACCAGGATGGAAGAACTATATGGAACTACACAATGTTTATGTTCTTGGGACCACAGGAGGTTGGGGAACAGAAACAGTTCTAGTTTGATCAGTGTTAGTCTTGGTCAAGGCTGAATCCTGCATGTACCTCTGACTCCCCCTCACCCCACAGTGAGACTTTTGTTCCATGCTGATACTATTAAAAAGAAATTCCACATGGACGTGAAGTCACCAGTAATTAAAAGCTGAAGGCACATGGTCTAATTAAGTGAACTTGGAGGAAAATCTGAGGAGGCTGATTTCATTTTCATTTGAAAGAATCCCAAAGCTTGAATTTCCACTATATATAGCTGACTTTCGAAAGTTCTTGCAGGCTTTAGAACTGTTTCCTTCATAAATTCAGAATATATAAAACGAAGTTGTAGCAAATACCCCCTCAAATTCCTCAACAAGGCACATACAGAAATATTGTGAGGCAGCTTCCTGGCTGATAAACCAGAAGGGGAAGTGGCACCATGTGAAGGGACTCCAGCTTGTTTGCTCTCCAGTTGAGGGCTCGCTCCAAGGATGCTAGGCTGCTACTGATGGCAAGTGACATTCTGTGTCAGTGTTAGCCAGAGAGCCATCTGGTTGGTACCAAACCCTTGCTTCCTCTGAAACAAGCGGGAAAATACCAACCTCTAAGATGATGGCCAAAGAGACTCAAGCTAGGACAGTTACCACTCAGAGGCCCAATAACTTTTCTGACTTCTGCTAGTGACCTCACTGCGAAGGGATACTTTCAATAGGCTAGCTTAAAAAGTCACTGGAAATTCAACAAGTGGACGGATAAAAATTTAATATACCATGCACAATAGCATTCCTCTCTACTAGCAATAACCAATTGCAAACTGTAAAAAAAGATCCCATTCATAAGAAAAAAAATAAGATAGCCAGGAATAAAGTCAACACAAATTGTGCCAGTTATATTGCTTCTATGTGGAGAATAGCGTGAAACTTGATTGAAGAACATAAAAGAACAAACCAAATCAGAGACATACTACTTTCCTAGATGATAAAGCTCAGTACTGTAAAGAAGCCTACTCTCCTCGAATTAATTTATAATTCAATACACTCTCAATCAATATCCAAACATGCTTTTATATCCTATTTGATATACTAATTCTAAAAGTCATCTGGAAGATAAAAATGAATTTTAAAAATGAGGGGGATTTACCCTATATTTTTTAAAGCACATCATAAAGCTTTAGGGAATTAAAACTGTTTGTGGGAACTATAGAAAAGTAGATTAACAGAACAAATGAAGAGTCCACAGACAACCCCATTTAGTAAATGCAGCATTTTAAATCAGTAAGGAATGGATGGATTAGTGTTGATGTAATAGCTATCTATTTTGAGGGGGAGGGGGCCTAAACCTCATACCTCATACCTCATAACACTGACAAAAATTAAAATTAAAAAACGCCCCCCGCAAAAATCTAGGTAGATTAAAGGGCTATATGTAAAAAATAATAATAATAATAATTTTAAAAAAATAAACTATGAAAGTAGTAAAAGAGAATACAGGTAAATATGTTTATAAGCTTGATAAGGAAGGTATTCTCAAACAAGACATAAATCACAAAAAGCCAGAAAACTCAAGTCAGAACACCATAAAGAAAAGGAAAAAGAAGAGTGATGAATTTGAACACATTAAAATCTAATACCCTAATAAACAAAGTTAGAACAATTGAGATTAAAAAAGAATATTTGTAAAATTTATAACAGGATTTACACCCTGAACATAAGGAGCTCTAAAAATTAATTTTTTAAATGGTATCTGAAACACTTTTTTACTAATATTTTTAAATTGGTAGATGAAAAAATAGCCCCAAAGAAAAATAGGCAAAGGACCTGATTAAGCAACTGACAGGACAGGATATAAAAATAGCCAAAAAACATAAAAACATGCTCAACCTCACAGGTAAACAGAAAAATAGAAACTTAAAAAATAAAACTTTTTCCCCAACAGATTGGTCACAATCAAAAAGACTGCTAACATCAAGTGTTAGTGAAGGCACTCTGCTATATAGAGAGTTGATAAAGATTTTAGAGGCTGGTATATACTTTCTGAAGGCAACTTAGCAATATTTTTAATGTTTAAAATATGCATTATCTTCAACCCAGCAATTCCACTTCTATATCCTCAAAGAATAAACATGTATATAAAAAGGCACATAAAAGGATATTTGTTGTCAACACTAATTGTAAAGCAAAACCTAGAAACCCTAATTTCCACACACACAAAAAAAGAATAAACTATATTCATACTATGCAATTCTATATAATAAAGAGGATGTGTATACTGATATGAAACATCAAGATATTAAATAAAAATGCAAGTTTCGGAACAAAATATGATGCTTTGTTTTTAAAAGATACACAAAACTATGTATTTTTACATAATATTGCAATTGGCAAGGTAGATATTACAGAGGGGACACTCACTATATCAGAATATACTCATGTTTTACCTGCATAATTTTTTACCAGCTCCTTCCAACCTTAAAGTCTGAACGTGGCTGTCAGCCAACAGGCTGTTAACTACTCGGAAGAGGTGGTGACCACGCAGAACACCAGTCCATCTGTACAGTAGTCCCCCTTTATCTTCAGGGGATACATTCCAAGACTCGAGAGGATGCCTGAAACCACAGTTAGTACTGAACTCTGTATATACTGTTTTTTCCTATACATCATACCTATGATAAAGTTTAATTTATAAATTAGGCACAGTAAGAGATTAATAACTAATAATAAAATAGAACAATTATACTGCAATAAAATCTTATTGTACTGTACTCACTGTTCTCTTGTGATATGATACAATGATTACCTGATGAGATGAAGAGAGGTGGAATTTTCCATTTAATATTTTCGGACTCTGATTGACTGCAAGTAACTGAAACCACGGAAAGCAAAACCACGGATGAGGGGGAACTACTCAATTTCCTCTCCCTTTGTTTTTTCCTTATCTAGTCTACCTCAAAAATCATTTCATGATTGATTTTCCTAAAGCATAGAGCAAATATTTATTAAGCATTTGCCATTACATATATACTCAGTATTTGGTAATGAAAAGAATGCTTTGGGAAGGTTAATCCAATTGTACTATGCAGCAAAGTGAAGCACAGAGGCGGGACAAGGGGAATCATCAAAGACTGCATAACAGACCAGGCTTTCCTTATCCTGTTCAAAGTTGTTCAGGGCTTCCAGGGCCTGTAAAATAAAGGCCAAACTCCTGAGCCTAACACCCAAGAGCGTCCACAATCTGGTTTCAATATATGTTTCTGGTCTCCTCTATTACTTCTTCCCACCACGTCTCCAATTCAGCCTGGCATTAGCATGCACCCATCCATACCTTTGTTCACAGTTACTTCTCCCTTCTATCTTCTTGAATATTGTTTTCTTTAAAAATAGACTCAAATTTGCATTTAATGGGTATAGAGGTTAAGTTTTATAAGAAGAGTTCTGGAAATTGGTTGCGCGACAACGTAAATGTATTTAACTGTACTTAAATGTACTAAGCTATACACTTAAAAATGGTTAAGATGGCAAATTTTGTTATATGTATTTTACTACAATTTAAAAAATTAGAAGCTGATTTAGCTTATAGAAAAAAAAGATTCAAATCATACCCTCCCCATATATGGCCATGAACAAGCCTGATCCTGTCTGATCTCGGAAGCTAAGCAGGGTCGGGCCTGGTTAGTACTTGGAGGGGAGCCCACCTAGGAAGACCAGGTCCTGTAGGCGTTAAAAAAATAAATAAAATAAAGTTAAAAAAAAAATTATACCTTCCCTAAGGCTTCCATGATCAGCCCTCTCACTCCTCTGAACTCCTAGAGCTCATATCATCTTTACAACTCACATGGCTTGTAATCATTCACATTCTTACATTTCTAATAACTGTTCATCTGTCTTCTTATCTCTCTCTCCCAATTTGGTTGAAGAATCTTAACAGCACTCGATAAATATCTGCTATTGTCTGGCCTCAGAAGCAAAATCAAAGGGAAAAGAAAATGATAAACCATAGTAACCACTTTAATATTAAAAATATTTATTTTCTAAAAGATCACACAAAAGTTGGGAAGAGAAAGAAGGTTGTCAACTAGCCTACATCAAAATCTGGGCTGAGGGAGGACAAAGAGCTACCTAAAGAAACTGGTAGCTGGAGCAAACTGCAGATATGGAGATGGTCGCTGGCCAACGGCACTAGTAGCCTGAGTCACCCACATTCATGAACACCACTGAGGTGCAGAGCGGACAGCAAATCTGCTGGCCCCAATCATTCCTCCTTTTTCAGAAAGGGAGAAGCAGGAGCTCACTCTTTAGACATATTCTTGATGGTCTTGTGCTCCTTCATGGCCTTCTCCCAATCACTGCCATTGAATTCCTCAATGACCACACTCCGCACGGTGCCCTCATCCAGGCAGTGTGGGGCAATTCCTAGAGGAAAATGGCACAGAGAAAGGGAGATCCCAAGTATGAGTAAGACCAAGTGCTACAGTGACTCTTGGACAAACCCAAACCTGCAAGCATCACTGTACTGCATGTCAGACTTTCCACATGATACACTATAGCTTACAATGTCAGCCTCTCAGCTTACTTTCCTCATCTCTCAGGTGGAAATCAGACTTCCTGAACCAGGGATGGCCAAGGCCGGACATCAATCAATACCAAGCTGAGAGTACAAAAGGGTATAAAGACTCAAGCCTAGTGCAATCTCTGACAGACAGCCTGAATAATTCACAGGCCTTTTATAAGGCTTAAGTGGGTACCTTTCTAAACATTAAATACCTCTCCAGCTGTACAAGAATTTATACTTTCTAAAAGCCTTTCCTGTGCCTTGAGGTTGGCAAAAAGGAGTCTCCATGTGACACCCCAGGAACAAACAGGGACAGCTAAGGAAATGGGGCAGGAAGTGGGAAGGTGATATCATGCCCTCCCCCAACTATAAGGCACAGAATCAGCACAGCCACAGCTGCCCCACCACAGCTCTGGAGGCTGCATCTATACCAGGAACAAGATTCCTCGGGAACATCCTCAACGCTACTTTCCACTTAATTCCCACTACAATTGGTGTCATTCTGAACAACTGTCTAAAGGTTATTTTCTCTCCCCAGATCCAAGGAGGACCTGAAGAGGGGCTTGGGAGACCTTCTGTTTGTTTTGAAGAAACTGAATTTTTAAAATGGCATTATCAGTGCTTTTCATTCTTGCCTTCTCTAACACCTTAAGCACCATCATCATTAAAATTCCTTCCACCCCCCCCACAGACCCATCTCCTCTCTCTCCTCTCCCACCCTCTATGTGTCAGCTCTGGCAGCATCAGTAAATGAGAATCAGGGTCTGGCTGGTATCTGAATAACCAGAGCCAGTCTCCCATCATTTGAAAAGAGCTCTAGTGAAGAGCCCTGTTCTTCTAAAACATGTATGTGGACAGGTCCCGCCATGCAGTAGGCAAGGCAGGTATGCAGTGCCCACCTTCCCAGCCTTCATTTTTACCCAGAGCAGCCACAGGCATGTCTGTGTCCATCCCTTAAGCACCATCATCATTAAAATTCCACCACCCCCACAGACCCATCTCCTCTCTCTCCTCTCCCTAACCCTCAATGTCAGCTCTGGCAGCATCAGTAAATGAGAATCAGGGTCTGGCTGGTATCTGAATAACCAGAGCCAGTCTCCCATCATTTGAAAAGAGCTCTAGTGAAGAGCCCTGTTCTTCTAAAACATGTATGTGGACAGGTCCCGCCATGCAGTAGGCAAGGCAGGTATGCAGTGCCCACCTTCCCAGCCTTCATTTTTACCCAGAGCAGCCACAGGCATGTCTGTGTCCATCCTGAGCTTGTGGCCAGCCCCTTAACTTACCGAAGCCACCGGGGTTTGAGCGGGGAGTGTAAAAGCTCTGCACGCCACATCTCTTACAGAAGGTGTGCTGTGCTTTGTGCGTGTTGAACGTGTATGTGGTTATGCTCTCAGCTCCCTAAGGGAAAACAGAAAAATAGATATTCTCTATTGCAAAGAGACTTTTTTTTTTGTCATTTAACAAATTTTATCAATGGGTTAGGAAGCCCTTTTGTAGAGCTCTCAAGATTATGAGGACATATCCAATCTTCCAGAGACTAGAGGCTTCTCTAGGACAGGGATCCATCTACATTGCCAGGAGACATGTCAGTCTAAAGAGTGACAACTCATGCCTTCTCTTCAGTGAAATGCACAGAGAAACTCAGCCTCAGGCTTTCCCTGATCCATGGCAAGATAGTATGCCCTGTCAACATCAGGGAGTGAAAATGCCTGTTTCCCAGAGCTTTTCTAAAAGGGGACTGGCTCTCCGTGTCCCCAAATAGGAATGCTCAAGGTCTTAAGAAAACGGTTGACTATATTTGAATTCACCTACACAGGACAAACTAAGAAAAAAATATTTGCCAGACATCATAGACAAAAGGCTAATTTCCTTAACAGATAATAACAAATGGGCAATTGGGCAAAGGACATGAACAAAGAGTGAAAAGGAAAAAGAAATTGCTATTTGACCTGTGAAATGATGGTCACACTTATGAATTGCAATGAGATATTTTTCACTGTCAGGTAGGCAAAAATCAAAAAGTTGGTTAGCATAGTATTGATGAGTATGTATCAGTCATGGGAATATAAATTGGTAAAATTTGGCAACATCTATCAAAATTTAAATGTACATATCCTTTAACATAGCTCCATTTCCAGACATTTATCCTACAATTAAAATTCCCTATGTATCCAATAACATATGTATATAGATATTGTAGCACTGTTTGTGACAGCTAAAGATTGGAAAAATTGAAAATGCCCATCAACAGAAGACTAGTTAAAGCAATCGTGGACACTCATAAAATGGAATACTCTGCAACTTTTAAAAAAATGAGGCAGTTCTACTTACAAATACTAACATGGAATGATTTCCAAGGTTATAAAGTTAAGTGAAAAAGCAAAGTATAAAACAATTTGTGTAGCACAGTATCATTCCTATTTTTTTAAAGGGAATATACTTGTGTGCTCGTGCATGTGTGTATGTGTGAGTGAAGGGTCGGGGAGATAAAGGCCTTCAGAGCTCTTCTCACCCCACAGCCATTTCACCAGAGAAGCAGCAAAGAATAATTGCCAAGTGGTCCCTAACCATCCAGAGTTATTTCATTATACACTTCCCCCAAGAAATCACCAAGAGGAATTGGGAGCTGCCTCACACTCTACCACGTTCCTTACCAGAAGTCACTCAGTGACATTCAAACCTTATTCCCTCATCATCTGTGCATCCACCAACCTGACCACAGCCCCCTACTCCCCACTAAAATGTATAGCCTGTCATCATCAAACTGCTATGTACTCAACCTCTCTGGTCATTTCTTCTGTCTTCATGCCCAATTAGAAATCATCAATGACCATTATGTTGACAAATCTAATGGTCACTTCTCTTGACCACTGGATTCTTGTTCTTAACCTCTTAGTACCACTCCTTCCACTTTGAAACATTTGTCTCTGAGGACACCACACTCTCCTGTTTTTCCCTTTTTCCCCACTGGCCATCCTTCTCAGGGCTTTCTATAAATGCTAGTGAGGCCGGAGATCTGTTCTCTACCCTCTCCTTTCTTTGGCTACACCCTCTACCCAGCTGACCACACCTGGGCTCACAGCTCTAAATATCATCAATATGCCAACAACTGCCAAATTGGTAGCTCTGCCTCTGATCTCTCCACAGCTCCAGACTTTACATCCAGCTGCCCACTTCCTATCTCTATGAATGTCCAAAAGATATCTTCAATTGATTTTTTTTTTTTTTCAAAAAAGAACTCTTTAATTCCTGTACCCTCACCTACTTCTCCCCCAGGATCTGGCATCTCTATTCACTTAGTTGCTCAGACCCAACACTGTGAATGTAACTTTGACTTCTCTCTCTTCCTCATCTTCACACCCAATCCTTTACAGAGTTCTGCTCACCCTTCTCAAAATGTGGTCCCAAGACCAGCAGTATCACCTGAGAAGGGTAAGAGATGTAAATTCTTATTCCCCCCCATCCCAAGACCCACAGAATCAGGAGTGAGGCTCAACTATCTGTTCAACATGCCCTCCAGGCTGTTCTAAAACATATTCAAAACTTATGTATGTTCAACATGCCCTCCAGGCTGTTCTAAAACATATGTCCACTCATCTATTCAAAACTTATGTCCAATTATCTATTCAAAACATATCTCCGATTGTCTTTCCATCTCCATGGCTACCATCCTAATCCATCGTTTCTCACCTGACCTACCCCTACAACTTCCTTGCTATCCCCATCTTTGCACTTAGAACACATCCTCTCCTTAGAACCCACTCTCCGGTGAGCTTTTAAAACACTGAAGCAGGTCTTGTCACTATCCTGCTTAAGGTCCTCCACAAACTTCACACTATACAAAGAATACACTCTATCTCCTTGTCTGCCCTGGCCTCTCCAACCCCAACCCGGTCCACTCTTTCACCACCACACTGACCCCCCTCCATCCTCAATGGCCATTGGTCAGCAACTCAGACAAACCAAATCTGTGCCCCTTAAGCCCTCTGCTCTGTGTGTTCTCTTTGCCTGAGGTACTCCCCCTGCCCACACACCCCCATCTTCATCATTCAGATCTGAACACCAGAGGCACCTTTCCTAACCAATCTAAATAAGCCACCCAGCTATCTTTTATCATACTGTTCGACTTTAACTCCCTACACAGCACTATCGGATTTTTTCTTATTTACTTTTCTTGTCTCCCACCTATAATGTTAACCTCAAGAAGGGCCTTGTGTGACCTGTTAATTGCTGGGCTTCAGTGAAACAGTTCCTGGTGCACACAAGTGCCCTATAAATACTTGTTGAATGAATAAGTTTTGTACTTAATTAAAATACACACACACACACACACACACACACACATAAAATGAATCAATGTTGTACACCTGAAACTAATATAATGTTATATGTCAATTATATCTCCATTAAAAATAAATAAATAAATAAATACATAAATACATACATACATACATACATACATACATACATACATACATACATACATACAAACAAGCAGAATATTGCTTCTTCAATGGTCTGGAGCCAAAGAAAAGAATGGTACTCTAGAGCACCAGAAAAAATGCATTGATAAGCAGTCCTAAGGAGAAAAAATAAAGGAAAAAATATCAAGACCTCAGAGTCCAAGGCTGCACCTGGCGGTGTCTTCATGGGTGCTCAGGAGCAAAGGTGAATTGGGGCCACAGCCTCCAGCAAGCACTTGAGGAAAGCACACTGGCAGTCTTCTGGGATTAAGGGAAAGACAAGGGGCAGGTATGTTGCCCACCTGTCCCACCTCCCCTACCAGACAGTCACATGGAGGATCAAAGAGGAGACAAAGAAAAGGAAACACATTGGCCCAAAGTACCTCAGAATAATACTCTCACTACCTAGGAAAGACCATGACACATGCATGCATTCACTGAGTCTTTCCGCCTAGACACTCAATGCCTACTCAGAGCCAAGCCGACAAGGCCAAGAGCTGGTCAGACGTGACCAAAGGTGGTACGTGGAGACCCTCACAATCTAGTAAAGGAGACAGACATAGAAATAGCATTACACCAAAGCACAGAGAGGTCTGTCAGACCACAGTGGGAGCAACCAAGGGGAACCAAGGATGGAATGAAAGCCCCACGCCATAAAAGCAATAATGTGCTGAAAGCCTTCCTAAAAAAGTTTCTATTGTTTGACCAGAGATTTCATTTCTAAGAAAATTGGCCCTAAAGAAATAACTTCTAAATTGTCAAAGATTTATACTCAGGGAGGTTCATCACAGTATTGTTAATAATTAGGAAAAAATTGCACTCAACATCAAAGTTCAAATTTAGAAAATTGCTTATGGTAGATTCATATAACAAAATATGCTATGGATACAGGAACAATAGTACAAATAAAGTAGGAAATGGTGTGGAGAGGATGAGATTACACAGACTGAGAGAAGACTCTTCACTGTATATATGTACTTTTGTACCTTTCAAATTTTGTGCCATATATTTTTCATGAAAAACACTAAAGTAGGTTATAAAACAGCAAGGTATCCTACTTTGATAAAAACATGTAATATATATTTAGATATATTTCTCTGTGTAGAAAATAATGCACAAGGATATACACCAAAATATTAACAGTAGTTACCTTCGGATGATAGGATTTGGGTGATCTTACTTATTTTTTGATTCTCTGCATTTGAAAATGTTTCCACAGTAATATCGAATATGCATCCAAAATAAAAAGAAAAAATAATATAACCTTTTAAAAATAAACATAAATCCTAGATGACAAGGAAAATTAAAGCCCTGCTGTGCTCCCTGGCCCCTGCACTCTACAGGGGTATGCTGTAAGTCAGGGACTCCCCAGTGGGTTCTGCATCGTCAACCCCGCTCTTAGCACTAACCTTCAGGAGCTTGAAGCGAGAAGCTGGAACAATGAAGTGTCTATTCTGCTTCTTCTTGCAAACACTGCAGCTACAGAAAGAAAGAGCAAGTCCCAGACCGTCAACAGCCATCTGTACCCTCTAAGTGCCCAAGGGGCCCAACCTGATATGTTTTGAGAGCCTGCTGACCACAGAGGTGAAGCTCCTTTCAACACCATCCAGGGAAGGGGGAGCTCAGGCAGAAAGATTAGCCACTTGGAGTCTCTGCCCACAGGTCCCACAGCCAGCAATTGGGGCCACGCACCCCTTGGAAAACACGGACCAACAGAACCACGTTTCTGCTGCCCACACCCAGTTCATTACAATGAAGGGAACCGTTGCATTCTAGAGACATTTAGAAAATAAGTATCAGGCATAGTTACAATCTCATGTCTCTGAGATATCCACACCAAAAATAGAAAAGGAACTTATGTTTCCCTCTTTCCTATCTGCACTTCGTAGACAGCCTAGCTCCAAGTAAAACAGGTCCTTAAGATTACTGCCTCTGGAATTAATTCTAAGTCCCCTCTTATCAGTCCACTTTTGAAAAAAAATTCTAATTTAGTATAGAATCCTCTAACTAGAGAATCCTCTAATCTTCTAGTACAGAATCCATGGTGCTTCTCCAATCTGGACTCCACTGTTAGTAGCCTTGTCAGTTCCTCATTTGAGTAATTCCATGATATTTTTTCCATATATAATTTAGGTACCACCTAGGCACAAAAGGTCCAGAATCCTGAGCTTGTCCTTGCTCTATTACAATGCCAGAGAAGGTGCTAAAAAGCAGGCCGTACAGATTCTGGCAATACCATCTGCCTCATCTGGAAGAATGAAGTGGAGCAAGAGGGCCTGGAGCATGGTGAGCTTCCAAGTGCACACACTCTCCACTCATTTACCCTCCACCTCCCCCAACTCCGAAGACTCTGCCCAAGGTTATTCACTCAGTGCCCAGCCTGAACCACTTCCAGCTAACCACTCTCCCCATCCACCAGCAGAATTAGTCTCAGGAGTGACTCAGCTAGGCACAAGCCCGAAGACCCTGATCTGTGTCACCTGGGGCCATGCTGTACAAGTGAGTTCTGTCTCTGTCTGTCTGTCTGTCTCTCTCAAACACACACACGACCAGACTGTTATTTTTAGCCTCCATCTTTTAAAAAAAATGTATTACTGAAAACTTCTAGCACACACAAAGGAAAAAGAATAGAACAATGAACCTTTATATATTGAGCACCTGACTCCAACAATTATCAGTTCATGGCCAATGTTGTTTTATCTACACTCCAACTCCCCAGATGATGTTGATGCACTGTGTTTTAACTCGTGTAAGTCCTTTTAAACCAACTTCAGAAGAGAAAATACTCACTTGCAATCAAAGATGTGTAAGTCTGCTGAAGCCCAAACTTCAAATCGAACTGCTCCACAGTGGCAGCCTCCTGTGTGTTTCACCAAGCCCTGGTACTCACTACATGAAAGAGAAAATCAGAAAGATAAGGATTTCTAACTGGTAGGACAGGCCCTTATTGCAGAGCTCATGCTTTCTCTCTTGCTGAAATAAAGAAGCAAGATGGACAAAATTCTCTACATGACAACCAAATGCCTCTCTGCTTTTGAGAAGGCACCGTCAATTTTATAAAAGAATGTATTCAGTGCCTTCTTTGTCCACAAGTTCTCAGTTTTCCATTTTTTATAGGTTGTTAAATTGCAAAAGAAAGCATTCCAAAAATCTGAGAAAAAGGGAGGTGGCGGTGGGGATCCTAATCCCACCACTCAAACATTTTTATTTACATTTCAAATATTTACTAAAAATTTTCGCAAACCAACTGCACTAAACCAGAAAGAGAGCAGTAAACAAGACATAGCAGAAATGTTTCCTGGACTTACTGACCGTAAGCAGCCATCAATTTACCCAAATAACATTTAAATAATTGTGATAAAGGCAGTACAGGCTGCTATGAAAAAGAAAGAGGACCCAACAAAGTCTGGGGCTTCAGAAAAGCCTTCTGAAAAAGTAACAACGGCTCTTATAATTTTGCTATATTCCCCTCCTGTATTTTTCATATATGTAACTTACATATTACATACAATTTTAATCCTTTTAAAACTTATATATAAGCCAGGCCCTTAATTGAACATTATTACGATTTGATACATATCATCGAATTGCTTTCCAAAAGTGCTGAACACTTATCAGTAATGAATGAGAAAACATTTCACTGTACCTTCTCAAGCAATAATAGGAAAAATAGCTTGCCACATTTTTAATTTGCATTTATTTGGTTATTAAGACTAAGTGGGGAGATGGGTAAAAAGGGCAAAGAGAAATAAGAGGTACAAATGTCCAATTAAAAAATAAGTAAGTTACAGGGATGTATTAAGGTACAGCACAGGAATAATATCATAATTTTATGCAGAGGATAAAATTAACAGAGGATACGGTGACAGACTTATCGGGATGATCATATCATAAGGTATATAAGTGTTGAGTCACTATGTTGCACACCTGAAACTAATATTGTAGGTCAACTATAATTTTAAAAATTTTATTTAAAGACTGAATGTTTTACGATGTTTCTTTACAAGTTGAATCAGTTAATTTAATGTATTTAATTTTTTCTGCATATACAATGCTTACTGTAAAAAATTCAAATGTTACAGCATTTGATAACGTTAACAATGAACGTCTCCTATAATCCTAACAACCATAGGAATCCAGTTAACTACTTGCTATATATTCCTCCAGACTTTTTTCCAAACAATATTTTAACAACAAAAAAAAAGTGCAGAATTATATATTCCTTTTACATATAACTTAATTTTATGAGTTTTGGTTTCTTAATGAATATATGTGATCACACCAATCTGATAGGTAAAAAAACTCTCATCTTTTTATGTCAAAACTTTAAAATCTTTTTCTTAACCATTCATCGGTTTGTTTTAAAGTAAAAACTTATTTCGGATTTTAATTTTACATTTCTGAGGACCTTTATAATCCCCTACACTTAGCAGTAGCTGGCTCATAGATGCTAAAAATGTTTGATGAATATAAGAAAAAAAAAGTTCATCTTATAATCCAAGATGATAAATCGAAAGGTGAAGCAAAGAGAAAACCAAATATTCCATCTCTGAGAAGGCTTTTCCTGAGAGCATTTCTTCTGGAAAAAAGACAAAGGATCATTTTTGTTCAAGAAAAGGGCTAATCTTCAGGTTGTTAGGCCATTGTTACGTTGTTCTTGTTTTTTTTTCCCCCTAGGGTTTTGATTGCTCTTTTTAAGTCATAAAATAATCAACACTGAGATATTATTAGGGTACTAAAGTATTCCGTAGCACAACTGTTCCAGGGAGCGATCACATTTTGGGATAACAAGGCAGCTCTTGCCAGAGATAACATTAATAGCCTATTTCTAACATCACGGACACTCTGAAATTCTCTTACGGCCATCTAAGGAGCTGGGGGTTCTTTTCCTGCAGTACTAAAGCTGGGGGAGCGCAGAGGAGAGTGTGGCGCGCAGAAAAATCAGCAGTGGAGAACATAAAGCCTCCCGCATCTTAGATGTCTGCACCATGCTCCAGAATCCCAGCACCTCTTTGTGCGCGCTCCTCTCCGGGATTGCACAGACTCCCCTCCCTATCAACCCGCTCCCTCACAGCGAGCGCCTGGAATAACGGGATCTCTTCTCCCAGTGGTTAGAAACTATACAAGTTTTTGTCATCTCCCTACCTTTCCCTCCCACCATCTCTCCAAAAACACCTGCTCAAATATAAAGGGCGACTCAAATATGAGGATAGTCGTGGGATTTATCTTCTTTTCAGTGGGAAAGGCACCAGCACACTTTGCGCGCCACGACAAGAGACAACGTCCCGAGCACGATGGCTGTCCCCTGGAAAGACCCTTCGTGTCCCAGAACGCTGTGTGTCCCTCCACAAGCTCCGGGGCGGCGCCCCCAAGCTCCCCAGGGAGAAGCCCCACTCCAGTCCAGGCCGCATAGCCCTAAAGACAAGCTGCGCAACCGTTAGAATGAGGAACGAGCATGGTGCCACTAGGGGAAAGCGCGGCGGTAACATTATGCGTAAGACATAGAACAAAATCTGCCGCAAACCCTCAAGCAGGCAGAGGCGCGAGGTGGGAGGGTTGGCGAGCCCGACTTCCGCGCCAGAGGCATCCGCGTGGCGCCGACTCTCGAGCGCCCGGCCCAGCCCGGCCAGCACTCACAAGGTGTCCAACAGAAGCTTGGCGGCGCCCTCAAAGGTGAGCCTCTGCCGCTTCTGGAACGTCTCCCAGCGCTCCCGCTGGTCGCCCAGGTCCAGCGTGGCCACCGAGGACGTCGGGGTCGCCGGCTGCGGCGGCGGGAGCAGCGCCAGCTCTGGCGGCGGCTCTCCAGCGCCCGCCTCCTGGGCCAGCGGCGACAACTGCCTCGGCCGCTGCTTCGTTTTTTTCGCCCCCCGCGCGCGCCCCTACCCGCCAATCAACCTGCGCGCCCAGGGGGCGCTGCGCCCGCCCGCCCCGACCCGGGCTTCTGCCCACCGCACCTAGCTGCAGCAGGGCTGCGCACTCCAGAGAGTCGGCAGCTCGCCCGCCCGCCTACGGGGTTGCACCTGCCAGCTGCATCCTTCAGGCCAAACGGGACCGCGCCTCGCGCCTCCCGCGCGCGCCCCTACCCGCCAATCAACCTGCGCGCCCAGGGGGCGCTGCGCCCGCCCGCCCCGACCCGGGCTTCTGCCCACCGCACCTAGCTGCAGCAGGGCTGCGCACTCCAGAGAGTCGGCAGCTCGCCCGCCCGCCTACGGGGTTGCACCTGCCAGCTGCATCCTTCAGGCCAAACGGGACCGCGCCTCGCGCCTCGGCTACCGACACGAAGAGCCTGTTTGCACCTGCAGAGGCACCTTCGTCCCCTCTGAACTGAAAGTGGCTCCTTCCTACCTTCCTGCCCTAAGTAGTCTTGGGTCAAGCCCTGAATTCACAGTCACATCCAAGCGGGCAGCCTGGGGGATCTTTATCTCCAAAATGAGGACAGTACTTACTTTGAAGGAGCCAGCGTGCGCCTGAAACGAGCTAATATGTGTAGATGGCCTGGCACCTGCTACCTGCTGGACAAAGCATCGGAAATCACAGTTCTTAATCTTGGTCTTTCTAATTTTATAAAACAATACATGATTATGATTTTGTTGAACAGAGCACCAAAGTTTAAAGGCAAAAACCACAAGAACCACCGATGAAACCTAGATATTTTCAAAACCTATTAGTTGCTCTATTTTACTCATTATCTTCAAAGAAATACATTGTTTTACTCATTTTCTTACTTGTATTTTCTACTTTTTAATTTCAACTTTCTTCTTTATTGTTTTTATCTTATCGTTAAATAGTTTATTGGATTAAATACATAATTCGTTTGTTTTCAGTATTTTTGGTAATAATAAAAATATTAATGACTACAAATTTTCCTCTGAGTAGAGCTTTATCTGTATCCATTAGGGTTTTATTCGAAGTGTTCTCTTAAAATTTTCTAGCTAATGTGTGCTTTCAGTTTTTGCCAAAGTGGTCGTACCATTTTATACTCCACCAGCATGTATGAGAGTCGCAGTTGCTCCACACGCCCTTAAAACGCTTGGTATTGCCACTTTTTTTTTTTTTAGCCTTTCTGTTGAGTGTGCACTCATCTTCTTGCGGTATTATTTTGCTTTTCCTTGATGTGTAGTGATGTTAAGCAACTTTTCATGTGCTTATTGACTATTTGGATCTCTTCTTTTGTGAAGTGCTTGTTCACAGACACTCTTCTGAGAGTCCATTTTCTAAAATGAATTGTTTGATGTATAGTTCTTTAAGTCTGGATACAAGTTATTTGCCAGATATGTAAATTTGGAATATATTCTCCTAGTCATGGCTTTCCTTTTCACTTTAATATCTTTAGATGAGCGGAAGTTTTTAATTTTGATGAAGCTCAACTTGTGAATTTTTTTATTTTTGATTAGTGTTTTTTGTGTGTGTGTCATGTTTTTTTTAAAAATCTTTGCCTACCTCAAAGGTCGCGAAGATTTTTCTCTTCAAGAAGCTTTATAGTTTTAGTTTCATATTTAAGTCTACGATTCACTTCAAATTAATTTTTGCATATGGTGTGAGGTAGAGGACAGCTTCATTTTTTTTTTCATGTAGATATCCAGCTATTTATGTCTCAATCCTCTATTCTGTTCCATTGATCTACATACCTACCTTTATGCCAGGACCACTTTGCCTTAATTACTTGCTTAATTACTTAGTTATGAAATCAAAGTAAGTCCTCCAGATTTGTTCTTCTTCAAGATTATCTAGGCCCATCTAAGTCCTGTGCATTTCCATATGAATCATAGAATCAGCTATTAATTTCTACAAGACAGCCTGCTTGACATTCTATGCTATCAAACATACTCCTATGAAAATCCCTCAGTTCTTCCAATTTAATATTCCTAACTTCATTCTTTTACTACTACTGAATATTTTTCGTATTATTCTAGTTACTCCTTGATTGAACCAAGTACAACTTAATTCCTAGGGTCAGATTGGTCCAGGCACACATTTTTTTTTTTTTTAAATCCCCGCCTACTTCCACCCCTGACCTACAAATAAGAGCTGGATCTCTGAAGGTGGGGTGTTTCCTCCCATGGGCCTGGTGCACCCAGAGCTTCACTGAGGCTCGAACTCAGGACCTTCTACATGTAAAGCAGAAGTGCTAACCACTATTCTATAGAACCACCTCCAAGCACACACCTTTTGAATTGCCTTCTTGGGTTTCGGGTGTGCAATAACTTTATTCAACTTTTTTTTTTCACCGCAAGCTAATTTAATAGTATGATATCTTAAAAATAAAATCCTAATTCATGTTTTTTCAGTTTGAATTGTGCCAAACCTCACACTAAAGTATTTTCACACATACGAACAACTTTACAACCACCTCTCAGATCAAAACATAGAACATTTCTAGCATCTTAGAAGGATCCTCTGTCTCTGCTCCCAGTCAAACCTTTCCAGGGATAACCACCACTCTTAGTTCATCACCATGATTTTGAACTTCATATAAATGCATTTATACAATATGTGCTCTTGTGTGTGACTTCTTTTACTGTGTTATGTCTGAGTTTCATCCATGTTGTTCATGTATCCATGGTTTATTTATTTTCATTGCTGTGTGTTATTCCAATATATGAATATACCACATTTTATGTATTCTTTCTATTGTTGAAGGACATTTAGAGTGTTTCCAGTTTGGGATATTAAAATAAGGTTACTATGCCTTTTTTTAAGGTAACCATTTTATTTTGCTCTAGATCTTGTGGGACAGGAATTCAGGAAGGACTTGGCTGGATAGTTCTTGCTTGGGGTTTCTCACGTAATTTTACTGAGATGTCACAGTCGTCTGGGGGCTGGACCAGGCTGGATATCAAAGATAGCTTCACTCACGTAGCTAATAGTTGATGCTGGCTGATGGCTGGGAGATCAATTAGGCTGTCAACTGGAGCACTTACCCGGAGCCTCTCCATAGGGCTTGGGCTTCCTTGGGTAGCCTCAGAGAATTCAGATTTTTTTATAATTGGCAGTTCAGAGCTCCAAAAGTGAGGGACCTAGTACACAAGATGGAAATTTTTATCTGTGCATTTTTATATTTTGGGTTTTGGGGTTGGAGTTGCATTGAATCTGTAGATCAACATAGAGAGAACTGACTTTTTAACAATATTGAGTCTTCCACTCCATAAATATGCTCTCCATTTAAAAAATCTTATTTAATTTTTCTCAGCAACGTTTTGTAATAAATTTAATATATCTTTTGTTAAATTTAGTCTTAATATTTGATATTTTGCTGCTATTACAAATTGTATTTAAAATTTTTATTTTTCCAATTGTTTGTTGCTAATATATAGAAAATAATTATTTTTTTCTATATTGACCTTGTATCCATTGACCTTGCTAATTTCACTCATTTGTCCTAATAATTTTGATTTCCTTTTAGATCTGAGTGTTAGACTGTTTCTTAATTTCCAAGAAAATTTAAAAAAAATTTTTGGTGGTTGATTTCTAATTTTATTGGGCTATAGTTGTAGTTTCTGAATTATAAAATCTTTTTTGGGGGAACTTATCGTTTTCTTTGTGGCCAGGCATATAATTGATTTCTGTAAGGGTATATGTTCTCTGTAGATTAGAAGGTTCTCTTTTTTGTTAAATCAAACTTATAACTGTATTACTCAATTCTTGTATGATTTGCTTTGTGTTGCCTAGTTACATCTGAAAATGAATTTTATTTATGTATTTGGCCATGTTTGGTGCATAAACATCTATAACCCTTAGGTTGTCTTTACAGATTATGTATAATTATAAATTTTAATTACAAATATGAAAAGTATATTATTTTACATTACACATAAACAATAATGTGTTTTTATTAAAGAATAGCCTTGTAGCACTTTTTAATGTATCTGGCTTTGATTTCAACTTTATCTG